GAATATCTCTTTGGTTTTGAGACTTTAGTCTTTGCAACTTCAGGGATCTTATCTATTCACGAACAGCTTGTAACACTCCAAAGAGAAAGGAAAACTTGAAATCGCATCATATGACCCCTTTAAAGTAAAAAAAAAAAAAAAGAGTACAAAGATGTTTTTTATGGATAACTTTTGGAAAAAATAGAGCAGACACTGGACAAAGATGAAGCTTTCTATGCGTACAAAAACGAAGTATACTTTGGGCTTTAGTAGCTTCCATTAGTCACACATAATCATTGGTGGCAGATTTCAACTGTGAGCAAGTGTGCTGAACACCTCCTGAAAAGTGAAGCCAAAACGTTTCCCAGGTTCCCCAGGTGGCTGGACCCAGTATAGTTCATAAACCCCATTTGTAATCTAGTAGGAAGTGAGAAAAAATCAAAAATCAAATTACACTTCTAATACATTTTTTCCAAAGATGGTTTACGTCATTTTAGGTAGTCCTTATCATGCTGATGTATGTTCAAGTGTTAATTTTTCCAATAAATTTGTTTTTAGTTAGTTATTTAATGCTATAAAAAAAAAAAAACGGGGTGTGGTGTCATGACTGTGATCTTGTGGTTGGGTCTGTGGGAGTTTGGGTTGGACTTTGATACTGAGGCTCCGCCCCACGATCACTACTGCGCAGACTCAAGCTCCAAATGAATCAATACTGCAGAAACTCTGGCAAGATGTAAGCGCAAGATGACAGCGACCATACTGAGATGTTTTGGCTTCACTTTTCTATAGTCCCAGGGACTTTTTATTTTTATTTTTGGGATTAATGCATGCTAATGAATAGTTTTTCCGTTATCATAGTTTATAGTAGGGCTGCACGATTAATCGAATGTGATTGTCATGCGTATCGTAAAGCCGATTCTGTGATTAGTAGTAAATCTCCATCACGTGCTTTCAGATGGAGCAGCGTTTACTACACAGAGCCGTAGTTCACTGACAAGCTATGCAAAATCTCGTTCATAATTGCAGACGATTTTATCACCTTTCCGATTTAATTTCGTGCAGCCCTAGTTTATAGTTATATGCTAACAGAAGCAGGATTAAAGGTGCTTTAGGTAATTATTTTACTCTTCTAAAGCCAAAAAATAACATAATATGTTTGTAGATATTAAGGAAACGTTACGTTTACATAGCTGTTTCTCTGAAAAATAATGCCATAGCCAGTAGCATTTGACAGCCACCTTTGCGGTTGTGCTGACGAAGCGCTCGTACTGAAAGTGCCTCTCTCGGTCTCTTCAGGCAATCAGTGTAATCTGACTCCTGCTGCACTGTGCTGTGGCTCTGCAGTGCACACTGTATGAAGCATAGCAGATGCTTTGGAGCAGAACAGACCATACACTCACACAAATGTGACCACATCAAATTTTAACTCGCACATTCTCAAAAAATGGCTGCAGTTTAGAGCCCCGAGTTCATCTTTTTGTACAGTCTGTGTGTGTTAGCCTCTCTTTCCTCCCCACTTCATCAGTAAGTGTTCTTGGACATCATTGATTAATTGTTTAGAAGGTGCTCCTAAAATTTTGAAGGTGCTCCTACATTTTTTAAGTTAGGAGCACAAGTGCTCCTAAAAAGAAAAGTAAGCGTAGAGCCCTGATTTCCTTTTCTTTATTTGCAGGGGCGTGATGGGCTGCCCATACCAGGATGCTGGCATAAGGTATAATTATATATGTGATATGGAGAAACTATAAGTCCTGCCATAAGAGTGAGGATATTGCATTATGACTGCAGTAACTGCTTCCTTTTTGTGTCTTCTAACAGTTTTCTCCTATTGCTCTCTTGCAGTAATGACTAACCTGGAGCATGGAGTTTGTACATATTGATATATATTTTGCAAGTAACATTTGCTTTTTCTCCCAATTTTTTTGTCATTTCTTATTTAATAAATTGGGTTTTCATATGGGAGCCCCTGCAAAATAATGTCTGTATCGCTGCATTAACAAAGAGAGGCTCTCCACTGCCACAATAACAAGTGTAGAAAAGCAATGAAGTGAGCATCATAGGTGCTGAGACCGTACTGATATTGAGAAGAGACATGAACTCAATGCTTGTGGATGCACAGAGAATGCTGCTGCTGTCCTTAATGAGAGAACATAACCCTGAACTTTCTAACAGACTGACCACTGTGTCTGCAAATGATTACTTCTTCACTGGCTGTCTTACTTTCCTGGGCGCCATTTGAAACAACCAACCCCATCCATTCTTCGCTAAATGTTTGCTTTGAAAGGAAGAGGCTTCAGGCCAGGGTGGTAAAGCCAAGCACCCATCTCAGCCCTAAAGACACTGAATGGGCTACATGGAGGGAGTATGCTTTGCCAGTTCAACTGGATGCTTCCAGTGAAAGGGCTCACCTGTACTACAGGGAGGAATACAATGTCAATAGGAAACGACTTACTGTCTTTTGCTCCATTTCTCACTAAAATACACCAGTGGAGTGGTGGAAAAACAGTAACTGATATCATGTAAAGTTGTCGTAAGTCTTGTCTGTTTATAAGAGCCCTCATAAACTAAAACAACTTTGGTCTTTTAGACTATTCATTGTTTTTCTGTGGTTGTCTGCATCCTCAGTGAGCATTATATGAAGTGTGTGTAAATAAAATGGATCATTTTTTACATTTAATGACTTATTGCCTGAATAACTCTGTACCGTGCACTGTTTTATGTTCAGTTGCTTTCCCTTCACTCTGTAAAAACTTACCTTCTCGGCTTGACAGCTTAATTGCGTTGATCTCGAACTCACCTGGGGTCAAATCTGAGGTACAACTTGTGTGAAGGTAGTTTAGACAGTACATGCTTGTCAGCAAACTTGTTTTGTTTTGTACAACAATTCGGTAAAAACAGATATCTCTCCGATCGTGAGATCTCCCCTCCTCCACTCACAGCGAATGATTGACAGATGACACTAGGCTTCTTAAATTCCCCGCCACGGAAAAGGCGAAACAGCGCCATGAAATCTACGCGTGGCCAAAAATATATTGCATCCGTAGTGTTAAGCACTACCATAGAGAATGAATGGGAAAAGTTAAGGGAAGTTAAGCTCAACTATTTTCGGCTGCCGCGCGAAAGGTCATCGGTTCGAAACCGGGCGGAAACAAATACTTTTCCTTCTTAACCTTTGTTTTACTGCCTACCTTTACTGATATTTAACAGTACAGTACCTGTCAAAATTTGGAAAACATTACACTTTTTTTAATGTTTAAAATAACTGTTTTCTATTGAAATATATTTTAAAATATAATTTATTCTTGTGAGGCAAAGCGTAATTTACAGCAGCAATTACTCCAGTCTTCAGTGTCACGTGATACTTCAGAAATCATTCTAATATACTCATTGGCTGCATTTTAAGAATTTCTGAATTCATTTAGCTGAATTTCTAAGAAACATTTAATATTTATTCAGAATAAAATATTCTATAAAACTGTTTTACAGTGTGCACTGTTATAAAGGTTTGTTAGACAAGGTTAACAAGATTAGTGTCACGTGATACTTCAGAAATCATTCTAATATACTCATTGGCTGCATTTTTTATTATTTTTAAGAAGCTGAATTTCTAAGAAACATTTAATATTTATTCAGAATAAAATATTCTACAAAACTGTTTTACAGTGTGCACTGTTATAAAGGTTTGTTAGACAAGGTTAACAAGATCTGCTACACAAAGTTTCCGTAGTGTAGTGGTTATCACGTTCGCCTAACACGCGAAAGGTCCCCGGTTCGAAACCGGGCGGAAACAACCTTTTCTTCCCCCGCTTCTCAAAATACTAATTACACTAATAAAGTCCAGTTAAATACACAGGCCAGAAACATTTAAGCATACAAACATAACGTCAACCAGTAACATAAATACCTGGTTACCCCTTTTCACCCTATCCCTACCAAAAAAATAAAATTTGAATATCAATTTCTGTTACAGAAAATTTAACTGGGATAAAAGTCAGGTATTATCTTAAAAAAGAAAGAAAGAAAGAAAGAAAGAAAGAAAGAATATAATGGCCCACAGTTGGGACTTCTATAGTATATGAACACATAACAGGACTTTTATACTGAAATCACCATTGGAACTGCAAAAAACATTTTCATGCTAAAGGCTTCATACTACACCTGCATATAATCCAAATATGCCCGGTTTTAACTACGGGGATGATCAGGTAAATTTTACATGGATTTAAATGACATGTATGTGATTTAATGTAGCCTCAATATATATGTTTAGAGATTTAGAGGTTTCAGCTGCATCTCTGTATGAAGCCAATAAAGCAGTTAATTCTGTTCTTTGGTAAATGGTTCATTCAAACGACGTTTATATTATAGAAATCTGTGTTTCAGGGTGAAAACTAAATATGGACGATTTCAAGCTGTTTAACGTTTCATGGCTATTAGCTTAGTATCGGCGGCTTTGGCTCTATTTTGAGAACTAATTCGCATTCTGCCGTTAATCTATTTTAAAGTTTTACTCCTATAGAGTGTTTCAGTATTTTGTCATTCCTATTACATATTCACTTGTGATTATACCGACATATGATATCGATGATAGTCTTAGATACTGGAACATAAAACGGCTGACGCGAACTAAAGCGAAACTCAGCCGCATAAGACTGCGCAAAAGTGCGCGGCTATGATGCGCTAGAACACTTGTCTTTGTTTTGGTCAAAAGCCGTTGTTTACACTGCAAGGATGGCATAAAGATTCACTAATCTGCAGAACATAAACAGGCGTCAGAGTTACGTGCGTATGTTCTATCGATCATATCGGACGCGGGCCTAATTTGACAGCACGAGCCACCCGTTCCAAGAGGGTTTAAGGATTGAGTGGCGCATTCGAAATAGAGGTCTCTCCTCCAGGATATGTGAACAGTAGCCACACTGAAATGAGTATCAGAGATAAAGAGCTTAAGATACATTTCAAACCCGGGCAAGTTGAGCTTGTTCAGGTAAGACTGTTGGTACATTTCTAGGAAGCACCTCCATGGTATACAAGCCAAAGCAACTTTAATTCAGACGAATGCCTTATAATTCAAGGCCACCCATTCGGTATCATTTTCTGGTTTAATACAAAAAGAAACACAGATCGTGTGTTATCGTTATGGCATATTTTAAGTTCAGTTGTGACGAGCAGATGAACGCAACTGATGATGCTTGAATTGTTTACCAGCCCTTTAAACTATAAACAATATGAGTGCTACCTGAAAAATTATTCAGATAGTGCTTATGATATTTTTCCTTTTCATTTTTGGCTCATTAAAACTCTGAGACTGGTGTGTATACAGTGCCATTTAAGCCCTCTGTAGGTTAATTCTATTAACCAGTTCCCTTTTAAGTGTCTAGGTACAAGTCAGTTGATTTCGAGTTGCAGTAAAATGTGCTCGAAAGCATATATAAAACGGAAAACCAAATTTCATCTGTACAAATTCAACTTCAAGTCAGTAAAATGTAATTAAAATCGCATGTCTGTCTAGAGCAAAAATATCATCTATGCCAACAACGTGTGTAAATAGATTGTGAACATCTATAATGAGAAAACTTTCTACAACCAAACAACCAAAATCCAACCCAGCTGTAGTTCCACTAAATGTCCTGAGGGTGGCGCTTCAGCGACTAATAAACACCTGAGCGCTGCAGCTTCAGCATCGATTGCACTTGCACAACAGCATCGAGAAATTTCGAGTGTCAGCTTGTGAGGCTGCAGATTTCAAACGTTTGCAAACCATGTAATTTACGATTTTTGTTTTTGTTTTAGAGGGTTAGCTGGTTGAGGAAGGTTATAGGGGCGTATGCTCACGTATGAGGCTGTGAAAGCTAATTTAACACCGATGTAATTTTCTAAGGCCATTTCCAATTGTCTCTATATCACCATAAGCTCGGTGAAGAACTTGTACTCATAATACAAACAAAATTACTTCCTTTCTGTTACAAATATAAATCCACTAATGTATACTTGGACTGAAAAGTGGAATTTCTTCTAAGAATAACAACCTATACACGGCTAATTTCAATTACCAAGACAACGTCTTTACAATAACAAAATATTAAGTATAAGTTACCTCACACAATGAAACAAGTGACTATCCAACATCTGAGGTAAACTGTATATGCTGTATAGTATCATGTACTCCGCTTAAAGTCTTAAACTTTAACTTCAGTAGTACAGTTCATCAACACGACAAAAGCTAGATACTTATTAACGTCTCAAGAACGTTGTAATATCTTACGTTTCTTCGCTTGTTTTACTGTTTGCAAAGTCGTCACACTAAACCCAATTACTCATCGACAGACACTGCCTTTTTCCATCAGTTGTCATTAAACCCCGCGAATTGATATCGTCTGCCAATGATGTTGTAGGGGCGTGTCCAGATTCTGTGAGGGACGACTCTTATTGGGTTTTAGATTGTCAATCACATCTCGGACTTGATGTCGTTCTATCCAGTATTTAAAATAAAAAATAATAGTATAATAAAATAAAACATATCATAGACACAACGATCATGTGTGTTATAAAATACATCCCATGGATACAATTATCAATTATTAAGAAAATATGCTGCTCAGCCAGATTGCATCTGTTTTCTACTACAAACATCTAGATACATACAAAGATCATTTGTGTTATAAAATGGGTTCCATGGATTGATTTTTCCAGCAGTTATAAATTAAGAAAACATGCCACTCATCCAGATTGCTTCATCTGAAAAGCATTTGTTGTCTACTACAAACATAAACATATTAAAAAAAAAATAATAATGTTTCACATACATTCTAAACAATAAACTTCTTAAAGTCTATCTTTACCAAAGTAAATCTAAATGTTAATTTAACATCTGACATCTTGCAGATAAAAATGGGAACATCATATCTCAGCTATGTATGCATACTACTAGGGTATGTTTACTTGGTTCTGTTATTTAGGATGAAGTCTACACTCCATACCGGCGCGTGCTTGTGACTGGTGCAACAGGGCTTCTGGGCCGTGCTGTTTACAAAGAGTTCAAGAACAATGACTGGGATGCTTTGGGGTGTGGCTACAACCGTGCCCGGC